TGCCAGGGTGGGCTCTGCAGTGGAGCCCTGAGATCTCTCGCTCCAGTGCCCAGGTCACCTCGAGCCATTTGCTCTGGCAGTCCAAGGTGCTTCTGTCCAGGGCTGGTTGCCATCTCTTGCCCTGGAGCTCAGCTGCACATCAGACAGGCTTGGCACACCACCAGCTCCTTGCCGGCAGGAAAAACACAAATTGCAGGGTTTTGGGCACTTCCCGGTCTCGTACCCTGCCCTGTTCCTTCCTTTCTTGCCCTGCTCTGGGGATGCTCCAGAAAAGCCTTTGGTCCCAGATGGCAGCCAAAGGTGGTGGAGACCCCTGGCTTGTTCGGTGGCTGAGTAGGAGCCAGGGTTCTGTAGCAACAGGACACGCAAGCTCAGCAGAGACTCCTAAACTCACGGCTCAGCAGAGCCCTAGGAGGGAGGCATCGCTATCTCAAGGTGGGTTTGGAAGGTGACCAGCTGGTTCCTTCTTAATCCCTTCCCTGTCTTGTCCTGACAATTCTGCCCAGCTTCAGTGAGAGGGAAGTTCGTGCACATCAGAGGGAAGCAAAGGGCAAGTGACGTCCCTGTAGTGACTCTTCCTTCCCTCCTGATGACAGCCTTCCCCCACCAGCTCTGTGGTCTCAGAAGCGGTGTCCAGAGGGAATCAGCCACACATCCTTCAGGCAGCTTTGCTGCCAGGTCCTGCCTGCGAAGGCTGCCTAGGCATCCCAGCCAGCATCCCTCTCTAGAGGCTGTCACCTTGGCGGTGGGCTGTCTTTGGCACTCCGAACTCCGCAAGGCAGAGCGAGCATCGAGGTTCCCTGGGACCTGACCAGCAGCTGAAAGCCGGTTGACGACCTTCTATATTATTTTTTAAGTATCTAATTACACCGCTGCGATTGCCAAGGTAGGTACAGTCCTGCCAACATGGTGATGTCTCCTGCCAGCTGACGTGCACCCTGTCTTGGCTGGGTATAACTGCTGTGGTGGGAAGCACAGCCATGTGGGGCCAGCCCCGTCGGTGCTGCTGGAGGTGCGGGGCTGTGTGGCTGTTGCCCTCTCCTTGCTGTGTGCACCCAACAAGAGCCTCCAGCAGATCCCTGCTGCCAGCCCAACGGGCTGCTGAGATCTTGCATCATCGTGCTCCCTGCAAAGTGGCCCCTTCCCAGGAAGAGCCCTTCTGTGGGCGGATGACTTTGCTAGGTTGCTGTGGAGCGGCTGCTTTTGAGAGGAGCTCCTCTCCTGCACAGGCGCCTGGGAAGGTGGCAGGCGATGTTTATCTCAGTTGCGTTTTATGGGGCTGTAGAGCATGTGTGTTATCATGCAGCAGATGGGCCTGGTGAATAGATGGTGGAGACAACTGTATTTCCTCACGCAGGCTTGTTGCCTGCTGGGAAAGGAGCCAGCCAGGCTTTGTAGGGAGAAGTGCAGAGCTTGGACTGGCTGTGGTTGGGTTTCTCCTTCAGCCAGTTCATTTTGGAGAGGTGGGTGTTGGTGTGGGACAGAGGGTGCTGCTACGACCCACCATGTCCTGATAGGGCTTGTACCATGTAAGGATGGACCAAGGACCAGCGTTCAGTGCTGCCCTTCCAGCCTTGTGCCCTCTGTGATCTTTGGCCCCTTAATTTAAGGCTGGTGCTCCAAGCAGGGACTTGAATTGTCCGTCAGTCCTTGGCAGGAGTCTGGTGGGAGCAGGCTGCAGTCTAGCACACTGCCAGTTGTCAAGACTGGGGAACCGGTGGCTTGTGGGGAGCGGCTGAAGATCCGTGTCCCATGTCCTCTCCTATTTCTGTGCATCTCCCACTAGCGCTGTGTGGCTGCTGGGCACCACAAGCTGTTGTGGGGAGAAGCAGGCAGGGGAGTCTCCTGCCAGAGCTTGCCACACTGGTGTCCCTGCCACTGCAAGGGGAGTCACAGACCTTTGAGGGAAGAGCTGATGGCCTTTCTGGGAGGCTTTTTGGTTTTCCTGACTGCTGTCAGTGGAGGAAGTCGAGTAGGTGGAAATCCCAGCAGAAAGCAGGGTGGTGTCCCTGGAACGGACAGTTTTGGGGCCCAACTCCTGTGGCATGCGGGAGAGAAGGTGATCAGGAGGGGGACAGTGTGGCCAGGGGGCATCACAGCTCCCCAGGGCCAGCCAGTATTGGAGCTTGGAGGAGAGCACTGCAGTGTCCTGGCTTCCACCTCCCTTCTTGCTGCCTGGAGCTTGGATCTCCTGGGCAAGTGAAACAATGCTTAATTCCCCGAGCCCACAGCTTGTTGCTGATGCTGCATCAAAGCAGGTCTGGTGATGCAGCTCATCCCACTGTCCCCTCGTGTGGTACTTGTCTTGGAGGTTGTCCTGGTTTTTCCCTTCTCTCGATTGGCATGGGAAGGGACAAGGTGGTTTCTTTCCCTGGTCCCGTGGTTGCATGGCTAAAAGCCTTTGCCTGCTGGGTAGGACCATGGGTGCGAGAGTGATGTGTGCAGCAGGAAGGTTGGTGGCTGGAGGGTCCTGATCTGCAGTAAGCAGTGTGGCATCTGCATTTAGAGGTGGATTTTTTGGAGCCAGTGCTCTCCAGCATGGTGTACGGTGGGTAACAGCATGGGATGCTGCAGGAGGATGCACGTGGATGGCACAGGTTGCCGATGCCTGTGGTTTGGTGAACCTCATCCAGTAAGAGGAATGGATGTGACAGGATCACGGTGCCCTTCATGGCCCTGTTTGCTTCCCTGCCTCTGCTGGAGCCAGGCACATGGTCCTTCCCTTTCTCTGTTTGAGGAATGATCTCCCTTTCAGACGGCTGTGGGCATGGTGCTGCCATGGGGGAGAGGACTAGACAGTGGCTCGCAGCTTGTGGACTTCAGGCAGAAAAAAAATCAATGTTTATATTTCTCTTAGCTGAGAAATGCTCCTTAAATAACTCTGGTAAATAAATACCTTGTGAAGTTCAAACTGTGAAGGCATGGTATATGAACCAAAATGAATTTTCAAGCGCTCTCTTGAGTTTGGGCTTTATTTAGAGAAACATTTGATTTAAGAAGGGAGTTGAAGAACGTATCTGATCTCTTTGTGAGGGGCGAGCTGCTCTTTCAATGGCTGTGGAGCATGGTCTGTAAATGTGGTTGGATTGCTGCTGCTGGAGTATTCCCAGGAGAGTTTCTCATGTACCAGCCAAATGGAGGGTCACTCTTCTCCTCGCCAGGGTGGTTCTTGCTGCATTCTCTGTCTCCTCAAGACCCTGCTGCTGCAATGCAGTCTGCTCAGCCACCTTGGGAAGCTGGTGGTGCAGGTGCTGCTGCTTGGGATGCTGGAGACCAGCCAGGACCTGATTCCCTCCGTGGACTGCCCTGGCATCTCATAGCTTCTGCGCCTGCCCTCTATGGCATAAAACATCGTATTTCCCCTCTTCATTCCAGACAGTGTTGTGGTTGAACTTGGTTGCTGAAGGGACACTAGAGAGGGAGCCAGTGGTGAGCCCACTGGGGTGCAACTTCCATGATTTAGGCTGCTCATTCCCTGGAATTTGCTGTTCCCAGGAAGAGCTGAGGGCATGGGGTGAACTCAGAGGCTTCTCCACCAGAGCTGGCCCTACCTGGGGTCTCAGGCAAGCAGGGCAGGGTGGGAGGGGTTGGAAGGGCACCAGCTCAGCTGGAGAGAGGTGCAGCTGACCTGGAGCTTGGTTCAAGGTTGGGACTTTAGACTTGGCCACATTAGCTGAGAGCAGGGGTGCACAGAGGCAGGGCTCTGGACTCGTTCTGCACATTTACCTGAAAGAGAACTGGTTTGTCCTTGTGTGAAGGAGGAGGAGGAAGCAGAAAGCTCTGTTTTGGCCCCACCTTTGCTTGAAGCTCCAGGAAATGACCCCAAGCAGGGGACAAAGGCCACCATGCAGGGCTGGGATTCCTTCTGCCGTTTGTCAGCATGCGTGCAAGCGTGGCATCGCCTTCCTGAAAGCACCAGGAGGGCTGCGGTGAGGGAAAGCTGCTCCCTGCAAGCCCAGAGGTTGCCGTGGCCCATAGAGGTGGTGCTGCTGCTGAGCTTCGCTTTCTGAAAATTGAACCTGCCTAGAAAACGTTACTACGCCTTTCTGCCCTGGAACGAGGTAGCTCTGGTGTGTGTTGGACCCATTCCCCCATCAGGGTTTCGGGTGGTCCCAGGCAGCACTGGAGGTTGAGGCCGAGGGCTGGTGCTGACGGCAGAGCTCTGTGGCCTCTCCACTTCCCAGGTAAGCGGGGCAGAAGCTGGAGCTGGCACACGGTGTCCCCCAAAGCCTGCTGATCAGAAATGCCTTGCCTCTGCCAGAGGTTGGGGAGAGTCAAGAGCTGCTGCTGAGCTCAGAAGCTGCTGGTGAGCTGTCCCAGCACCAGCTCGCCACAACCCACCTCGGCTCTGGCACGGAGCTACTGCTAGCAGGCTGGGCAGGCCGGGCTTCTGGCCCTGAAGGCTATAGCCAGGTAAAAGCACCACTGTACACCACAACCTGCTTTTCTATGCTTGGTGGGGTCTGGTGTGGGATAACCCAGTTATCCCAGTGTGGATAAGTGGTGTGCCCATGGTGGTGAGCCAGAAGGAGAGGAGAGAGACAGGAACAGAAAGTGAAACAGAAGTGAGCTGGAGTGACAGCGAGGGAGGAAAGAATTGACCCCGGGAACAGCCAGAAGGCAGAGCCGGGTGTCAGCTCCTCCAGAGTTACAAACAAGCTGCAGATGTACAAAATTGTTAAGGCTGGGTGCAGAGACGGTGTGCTTGCTCATTGGGGCTCATCCCTGCCACGAGAGAGGGGTCGGCAGGGTTGCAGGGCTGTTCCTTGTGCCCTTCCTGAAGCATTTCGAGTGGAAGCCAGTGCATTGCCATGCACTTGGAGAAATGTTTTGTCAGTGCCAGAGGAACAAGTGACTGGAGAGCAATGACTGGACTGATGGTTGTCCCCTTCCTGGAAGCAAGGTCCTGACTGTGCCAGCCCAGGAAATGCGTGATACGGGTGGCCTTAGCCTCACACTGTTGTCTTCTTTCTTCCAGCCACTCCCACTCTCCTGGCTCCATGGCTGCTGTCCGCGAGTGGTCCTGCACCCGCTGCACCTTTCTGAACCCCGTCGGCCAGCGGCAGTGCTCCATATGCGAAGCCCCTCGCCAGAAGCCTGACCTCAACCACATCCTGCGGCTCAGCGTGGAGGAACAGAAATGGGCTTGTGCCCGCTGCACCTTCAGGAATTTTCTGGGCAAGGAAACCTGTGAGGTATGTGGCTTCACCCCAGAGCCAGGGCCCAGCGGCTCCCCCTTGCCTGTCATCAATGGCATCTTGCCCAAGCCGGCTGTGCTTGTGGAGCCCAAGGGCACGTCCAAGGAGGAGGCCACCAAGGCAGAAAGCAGCAGCGAGGACTCGGAGGGGAAGAGCCCCGATGAAGCGGAGCTGGAGAGTGGCTGGGCTTGCCAGCGCTGCACGCTGCACAACACGCCGGTGGCCAACTCCTGCTCTGCCTGTGGTGGCCCACGCAAGCTCTCCCTGCCCAAGATCCCGCCAGAGGCGCTGGTCGTCCCTGAAGTCATCACCCCTGCTGGATTTCACATGGCCCCCTCTACCCCGCAGCCTTTAGTCTCTGCAGAGATCTCTGATGGTGACGCGGTGGCCACTCAGGGCCCAGTGGCTATGGAACAAGAGGCACAGAAGATACCAGCCTTCAGCCCCTTCTCTCCAGGACTCCAAAACAACCCTGTGCCCCGAAGCCGTCGGGAGGTGCCTCCCCAGTTGCAGGTGCCGGGCCCTGAAGCCTCCCAGCCCGTGGCTCAGAGTGCAGCGGGGCAGAAGGGCTCTCCGCAGGGTCAGGCCAGGGCTGCCCCAGCCGCCCGCTTCCAGGAGCTGCTGTCCAACAAGCGGCTGAGCGTGCTGGAGGAGGAGATGGAGGTCAGCCCGTCCCACTGGAAGTGCAGCTCCTGCTCCCTGCTTAACTCTGCTGGGGCCAGCAAATGCGAGGCTTGCAGCACCCAGAAAGGCAGCGACACCATCAATCTGGTGGGGGACTCGGTGAGATTCACCCCGTGCAGCCCCTCCAGCCCTGACTTCACCACCTGGTCCTGTTCCAAGTGTACCCTCAAGAATCCCACCCTGGCCCAGAAGTGCAAAGCCTGTGGCTCCTCCAAGCTGCATGGCTTCCAGGAGCACGGGACGCAGGGCGAGCTGTCCCCCCGCTGCCCCGACTGCGGGGCTTGCGACAAGGGCGGCTGCTCCTCCTGGAGCGGCAAGGGCCCCCCCTTTTTTTTCCCATCCCAGCTTCCCACTGGGCAGGAGAGGCCAGGCCAGTGGGCTTGTCCCGCTTGCACCTTGCTCAACGAGCTGAAGGCCAAGCACTGCGTGGCCTGCCATACCCCGCAGCAGTACGTGGCCCAGCGCAAGGGCCTCAAGCCCCTGAAGAGGCGGGAGAGCATGCACGTGGAGAAGAGGCGGCAGACGGACGAGGGAGAGGCCAAAGCCCTGTGGGAAAACATCGTGACCTTCTGCCGGGAGGTGAGTGCTTGCTAAACTAGTCTTGCTCCTGGCTTTGCTTGGAGGGGGCCCCCTTCCTGCCTCCCCCGTGGGCCCAGGGCACAGCTTGGCACAGGCAAGCTGCCTTCTGGATCTTGGGTCCCAGAGAAGATCTTCACCTGCAACAGCTGGATGCTGGTTGTTAACACTGAAATGTGACATTTTAAGCCCGTGCAAGATAATCTCTGGGGTGAAGGCCACCCATACAGTTCACTTCTGGTCCAAGGGGAAGTCTGAGTGTTAACTCTGAAACCTAGTGATCTTTTAAATCGGTGAGAGAGAACATCTGGGTTGAAGGGGACGTTCTTAGCTGGTCAGTACAGCTCCTTCCCTGTCCAAGGGCGGGGAAGGCGGGGAAAGAGGGCGTCCGGGTTTGCTGGTGGCACCGCTGTCTGTGGGCAGCAGCTACAGCCTGTGTGGGTGCAGGAAAGCTGGGGATGCAGCAGGCAGAGGCTCAGGGGATTGGCAGGAGTTGCCAGCAACCGCAAGTGTTCAAGAACCGTGAGCTGGGCCTTGGCGTTCTTGGTTTTGGTGTTTGTGAATGCAGAGCTGCGGCTGCAAATGGCTCACCCCTGTTTTGGGAAGGCCAGCTGAGGTTTGGCTGCACCCTGCCTCCAGGTGAGGGTCTCAGGAGGCCACGCTAGCACCCTCCCCTCCCACTGTGAAGTATCTGGCTCAATCTATTGGGTTCCAGTCTCAAACACGGCTCTTGATGGCCCCATTTTTTTCCCTGAGTGGCATAAGATGCTCCTGTGAATGCTGCTCTTTCTCTGCCCTCCTTCTGGGGGATGCCTCCAGCTCTTCTGGACCAGATGGAAAGGGAGTTGCAGTCCCATTTTGACGTACAGACAAGGCTTTTTCTGCCTGGGCCGAGGAGCGTGTCCATGCCTGTGCCTCAGCTGCACAGACTGGGGACCGCAGAGATGTTTGGCTCGGGAGGGAAGCTGTTGAGAATGATCTTCGTTTGGGGTTATGGATTTTTTTAATTGCTAGGTGTTCATCCTGACAGACACGGGTGTCTTCAGAGCAGAGACACCCTGATTCTGCTTATCCCCCTCTTTTAAGCAAGCGAACAGCCTCTTTCATAGGCAGGGAACATCTGTTACAGCCAGTGGAATCAGGCCTGAAGGATGAATTATGAGAGATGGCCAAGTGGAATTAGCAGGTTGCTGCTGCCAAGAAGGGGGGGTCTGCCTTGCCCCATCCAGCACAGCTCTCAGTTGGAGCCTTGGCTGAGCCCGTTCAGCTTGCTAAGCCAGCGTTGGCCACCTCCTGAAAATCCCCTTAAAACTAAATCACTGCTGTGTTCTGACACTGTTTGTGGCAAGTCAAGGGCTCTGCAGGTCTGCGGGAAGGTCTGGCGGTGGTGGTGGGGCAGTGCTGCTCCCATACTCGTGCTGGCTCTGCTCTCGGTGTGCCTGCGGCCTCCCACCAGCGCTCCTGTTCACGCTGGCGTGTAAGGCAGCCTCCAAGCTTCCTTCTGCCTGCGGTGTTTCACAGGCTGTTCAGTCTTCCCCTGGAGGAGAGTGTCAGGGTGGCCAAGTTCTCCTCTGCCTGTTGTCCCCTGCCCCAAGTTGTGTGGAGCAGCCCGGCTCGCTGCACTGCTCCCTGCAAGGACTTCTGCTTGAGCTCCTGCCATGGGCTCTCCCTCCTCTGCTGCTCCAGGGGTGCCTTTTCCAACACTTCTCAGTGCATGGCCCCCACTTTTAGCTTTACCCTTTCTCTTCCATCTGGGAGGAGAGCAGAGCTGACCTCTTCCACTAGCTCCCTCTGCTCCAGGCATCTGCTTCCCTGTCTTGTGCTGTCCTCTCTCTTGCTTATCCTGCTGTCTCACACTTCTTCTCTGATTAATCATCCTTCCCCCGTTCTGAATAACAACACGCATCAGCCTGTTCTGCAGAGCTAGAAAGACAACCCAGGACTCTTGGCTGTCCGTGCCATGCTCTGGCACCTCTGCCTGCAGAGCCTTTCTGTGTGCTGGGGCAGGCCCCCTCTCTGTTTCCCTTCTCCTCAGCCCATCAGGCAGTTCGCTACTGGCAGCAAGGCCATGCCGGGCAGGGCAGCAGCCTTCCCTGGCCCACGCGCTCCTGGGGAGGTGGCAGCAGAGAAGGTCACATCTCTGGTCTGTAACGGTGTGAAGAGGGTTGTTGGCAGAGCAGGAGGAGTGAAGGAGGTCCAGTGCCCAGATTTATCCCCTTGCAGGAGAAATAAGCAGGGCTTCTCGGCTGGCACCGTCTGTGAGCAGGCTCATTGCTGCCGGGGCATGACGAGTACCTGCTCCTCTCCCCCCTCCTCTGATGCTGCCCCTGCAGCTCTCATGCCTCTCTTTACCTCCATCTCCAGGGATATCGGTAGTGGTGGCTGCTTGTCAGCTGGCACGGAACAGATGCTCCCCTTGAGAAAGCCAGCCAGCCCTGGGACGTGTCCTTTTTGGCCCGCATTGGTATTTGAGCAGGGACATCTATTAGCTGAAAAGCACCCTTCTGCAAAGGAGAAGCTGGAAGTGCTAATTGAGGCACCACGTAGAAAGCATTCACGTAGGATTGCAACAAAAGAGGAAGGACAACTACTAGTTCGGTGTGCATAAAAGCCAATTTAGATCAGAGCTGGCTTTTCCTGAAAGAACTTAATTTCATTTAATTAATAATGACAAAGAAATCATGGTTCTTATTTCACCCTGTGTTAAACTTCCTGAAAAAGCTGCCCTTCTGCCCTTGGTGAAGTTCTGTGCTTCCATCCTGCCTCTATGGTGAATACCTGTGAGATTATCTGCCCTTCAGTCCATCCTATTTTATTTAATACACAGCAGCTATTGCAGGTGAGCTCAGACACGGGATACCCTCGCTCTGGAATTGCTTACCTGTTGTGGTTGGGCGGAATCCAATTGCGAAAGGTGCTCCTGACATCCTTCGTGCTGTGCCTTGCTGGGCTTGGCAGTCCCGTGCAACGCCCGTGTCCGCTCCGGAGCAGGGGCAGCTCAGCCCTTACCACAGGGCTTGGGTTGAGGAGTGTTCCCTTGCCAGGTGGCTCCTCGCAGGCTTGCTGCTCGTGTGCTTTGCCACTTAGAGAAGCAGCCAAGGTCCCCCATGGTCCAGCTTTTAGCACCAGCACAAAGTGTGAGACAGTCCCTGCCTGGGGAGGTTCCTGTGAAACAGAAAAAGGCAGATTTGAGTCGCAGCCTGGAGCTCGGGGCCCAGAGAGGTGAGCCAGCGCCTGGCAGGGCTGAAGGCTGGACCTGATGCGCAAATTGCATCTGTGCCGTTGCCAACAGGCGCCCGGTCCCAGACCCGCTCCCCGGCACAGCATCGGAAGGGGCTGCCTGGGCCAGGCAGGAGGGCTGGGGGCTCCCCTCTCACTCCTGGCAGTGCAGGGGGAGGGTTTCCAGGCCTGGAGGCCCCGGGGAGCTGTGTGCCTCGCAGCTGCACACTGATGCTCTCCTTGCCTTTCGCTCTCGCAGAACAAAGTCAATTTTGTAGATGACAGTTTCCACCCTGGGCCTAAGTCTGTGGGATTCCCGGAAGGTGACAGTGTGCAGCAGAGGGTGAAACAGTGGCTGCGACCTCATGAAATCAACTGTAGCATCTTCAAGGACCGGTCGGTGAAGTGGTCGGTGTTTCGGACACCCAGGCCCTCGGATATCCTGCAGGGACTGTTGGGAAACTGCTGGTAAGGGGGAGCGAGCTGGGCTGACACCCTCCTTCCCCTTCCTCCTTTCCTCTCCTTCACCCAGCTCCAGATGGGACCCACAGCCCTACTCAAGCCCATTTATACCCCCAGGCGCGTACCCCATCCTCTGCCTCACCCCTTACTGAGCAGCCACGGACCGCAGTCCCCTGCGCTGCATGGCTGGGCAGCTGCCTGCTGCCTGCCTGTGCCCCGCTGAGACTGTCCCATGTCCCGTCCTGCCGGCAGGTTCCTGAGCGCCCTGGCCGTGCTGGCCGAGCGGCCGGAGCTGGTGGAGAGGGTGATGATCACCAGGACGCTGTGCCCCGAGGGCGCCTACCAGGTGCGGCTGTGCAAGGACGGCACGTGGACCACGGTGCTGGTGGATGACATGCTGCCGTGCGACGAGTGCGGGTACCTCCTCTTCTCGCAGGTCAGCGGCCCTGGGGGCGAGAGGGATGCTGGGAGGGGATCGGCAGGGCTCCAGGGGCAGGAGGAGGCTTGTCCCCGGTTCTCCCAGGAGAGTACTGGTGGAGGCAGTGGGAAGAGGTACCTGCTGTGGTTCACGTGAGGCCCCTACTCTGTACTGTGTGGAGCACCTGCAACTCAGGACCCTGCTTTTTGCTGCGCCCTCAAGACAGCTAAACTCTTTGAGGCCATAATATAAACCTATTTAGGCCCCTTTTGGCATTTTCCAGGCTGCGATGGAGAAGTTTCATTTGCAGTTGCTTTTCCCTCGCTCCTCCCTGCACTGCAGCCACTTTGCTCACAGGGGAAGCCATCCTGACTCTTCCCAGCAAAAGGGCAGTATTTTAACCTGTGCATCTTGCACTGCGAGGGGCTGAGGGAAAGCGTTTCTTTCCTCTGCAGGGAGGTCTGGCAGCTTGGCTTTGCCAGGGAGGGACTGTGGAGAGGGAGGGGATCGCACGACAAATCAGCCTGTTTCGAGCCAGTGCCTGGTTGCTCTGAGCACACTCGGGTGGCATCTGCTAGGGTTAACAAAGCTCCCTCAGCCACTTCGGGATGTCACTGCGCGTTATGCCCTGCCCTGCCTGCCAGGCCCAGGGGCACTTGCTGGGATCATGTCCATGAAGGAGACTGAGAACGTCTTTATTGCAACTCGGGCAGCAAAATCTGCCAAACAAAACAAAGTGCCACTGTCAGGAGGAGACAGGGACCCAGGGCTGTGGGATTGGACTCTGGGGTTTGCAGAACAATCGTCTGTTTTAAAATACACACAGCCCCAAACCGCATCGTGTGTAGATGTCAGGACAGGGCTCTGGCTGGGGAAATGGGGCCTGAAGATAAGTATTTGGGGAACCTTAATGTCGGGACAGCTTGAGTGGGCCCAGTAGCCTGTGCCCTCTGCAGCGGGGAGGTGACCCAGTCCTGGGGCGACTGCTCATTGCGTCGGAGCATCAGTCCCGGCATGGCTGGTAGCGCTGGCTCCTGCGCCCGGCTTGCCCCTGGCTCTGGGCAGAGGGGCAGGAGTCCGGGCAGGGGCTTTGCACCGTGCAGGCACAGGTACGGCACTGCCAAGCCTGGGCTGCCTGGCTGCTTTCTCAGCAGGGGGGGTGACCTCCCCCGGGGACACCAAGTGGGGCAAAATGATTGTCAGGGCTGCTGGAGGCTGGTCCTGTTAAGGAGAATCTTTGGAGAGGGGAAGAAGAAGGAGCCTGTGTCTACATTTTGCCTCTCCATAGACAGAGAGGATCCACATGCATTTATTTTCAGCATAAGATTTACCTGACTTGATTTTTTTCTTTTCCATCCATCTTTCCTCTCTTACACATTTCACATCTGCTTTTTTTTTTTTAATTTTTTTTTTTTTTAAGACTGAAGGTTTTCACATGGGCTGGGCTTGCCTTGCCTTTGTTTCCAGGGGCATCTGAATCGTGATGAGATTTTTCTGCCAAGCGTTCAGCTGCGTGAGCTGGATGTGGGGGCTAAAAAAGGAGAACCAGAGAGTTTTAAAAATAAAGGAAAATCAAGCTTTTATCTGAGCTCCCTGGCTGCGGCTCAGGCAGAAAGAAACAACATGGATTTTGTGGTGCAAGGGGCACAAAACCAGTGAAAAGCACTTGTAAGCGGGCTTTATCCATCAGAAAGAAATCATCACGGCCCTCCTTTCCTCTCCCAGCTCTTGGCTGCCACCTGCGAGTCGCACACAGTCACTGTGTACCCGTGCTTTTCCCCTGCTGCCTTCCAGGCACTGGGTACTGAACCCATTTGCTGGGGACGCAGAGGCCAGCAAACGGCTTCTTGCCTTCTGTCCTCCTACGTCTTCCTCTTCACGTCCTCGCTGCAGGCAGGGGCTGGAGCAGAGGTGTCTCCCTGCAGCCTCAACATGCCCAGGACGAGAGGCAAAGCGCGGCTGGTGCCTGCGCCCTGCGGCACGCCGAGGACCTGCAGTGGTGACTTGGACGCGGTGCGAAAGGCTGCGCCCTGAGCCCGCGTTGCCGCGGCCGACGGAGGCTTTGCAAACCTCTGGGTGCGTTGATGCAGCTTCTGCGTTTCTTTCCGAATCTTTCATCAGCCTCACGAGGCCAAGAGCCGCAGCCTGGCACCGGAGTGAGAGAGTTTCCCCCCTGCAGAACTTGCATCTTATAATTACATCTTGCCACCGTCCCTGGGCAGGAGTGGAGGACTTGGCCCATCTGCCTGGGAGTTTTTGGAGCTTGTCCTTGAAATGGTGTCTCTGTTCCCTGGGTGAAATCTAATCGGTCCCACGGCCATGTGTGCTCTAGGCAGCCTCCTCCACCAAAGGAGTGTTGGTTTTGGTTTGCAGCGGTGTGCGAGTGAAAGGCAGCTGTTCCAGATGTGCTCAACACCCTGTTGCATTATTGAAACCTTTGTAAATCCACGTTGAAGCAGAAGGAAGGGACTGTTGGCTTGCAAGGGGGACACCCACCCCTGCCAGCCTGACTGCCTGGGCACCTCAGGGTGCAGCTCTGTTGGCACCCAGGCCTCTTGGACGTTCACTCCAGGACATTTTCCCAAGGGGGGTTAAACTGCGCAAACACAACACTGAGCAGGCAGCGAATGGGGTCACCCTTGGCCTCACGCGAACCCGCTGGTGCCTTGGCCTCGCTGCTCCTGCCTCTCAGTCTCCTGTCGCAGCGCGAGGGCTGGCAGGGGGTGGGTGAGGGGGGCTTTGCCTTGGCCGCTTGTGCTGCCTTTGCTTTCCCACCCCCTGCCCAGGGTGGCCCGTGATGTGTTTCTCCCTCTTCCCGCAGGCCCAGAGGAAGCAGCTGTGGGTCGCCCTCATTGAGAAGGCGCTGGCCAAGCTTCATGGTTCGTACTTCGCCCTCCAGGCGGGGCGTGCTATTGAAGGCCTGGCTACACTAACGGGTGCCCCCTGCGAGAGCCTGATGCTGCAGGTCAGCTCCACTAACCCTCGCGAGGAGCCCATTGACACTGACCTCATCTGGGCCAAAATGCTGAGTTCTAAGGAGGCTGGGTAAGACGAGGCAGGATGTGGCAGGAGCACGGACATTCGGAGAGGGGGGTGAGGGAGGGGCCGCTCTTGTTTGTAGGGGCTCAGAGGAGAGGGGCTAGTGCATTACTAGGCTGGAGTCCACCACCCTTGGCACTCATCTGGAGCTCCCACTCTAAGCTCTAAGAAATTATTGCTCCTCCTTTAATTTTCTTAGGACATTAAAATCCTGGTGAACTTCCCCATGCATGTCTACTTCTGTCTTGCAGGAGTTTGGAAGTGGCTAGCACTGAGCCCACTTGCTTTGCTTTGAGGTTTTCTGTATTGTTGAGTGCTTGACCCTGCACGTGTCTCCCACCCGCACGTGGCATCTTTGCTGGCCATACCTGGGCACGACTACAGGCAGCCTGTAGGAGACTAAGCAAAAGCAAAGACCTCTTGCTCATCACTCCGGCAGGAGGAGCGGGAGGACAGTTAGGTTGGCTGAAGGCAGGGTTGCTCCTGCCAGCCTGCAGGACGAGGCCACATGGGCGGCTGATAGGTGCTGAGGCACACGGTTGTCCCCCCGAGCCTGGCTGGTGCAGACCTCCCGCCTCAAATAATCTGTCCTCACCCCTGCAGAAAGGGCCCGTACCGCTTGCCTTTCGGTGTGGCCCGCCCCACCCCTGCCAGCCAGCAAAGACAGGCAGGACCCCAAGGCCTGGCAGAACATGGGTGAGGTTTGGGCAAAGCCTTTGCTGTGTGTGGGCAGAGCTTTCAGCCCTGCAGGTGAGGGCACTGCTCAGAGAAGCTCACCACAGAGCCTGAGATCAAGTGTGTGCGTGAGCGGGTGGAGGGAGCTGACTGCTGCCCAGGCAGCGTGCTGGCCACTGGGGCTGGGGCGCTGCTCTGGGGAGGTTTATGGTGGTGTTGCAG